TTGCTTGGTAATATCACCCAAGTCTATATTAACACTCTTAAGGTCTGTCATGCTTAGCATGTAAGAGTTCTTGAGTTGAATCCAATCATCACTTTTCAAAAGGACATTTGTCCTAAACAGAGGTTCTTCTTGTAGCCTGTGGTTCTTCATTAAATGGACCGTTTTGGTAGTTGTATCAGTGTTCCTCAAATCATAATCAGTATTCCAATGGCACCAGAATCACCTGAGCTTCTTGTTAACCTACTGGAAGTGAGACCCAGGAACTCCCATTTTACTTTTTTCTGGTGATTCTTAAGTTTAGGATCAGGGAATAATGAACTTTGTTCTGCTCTCCTGCTTGAGTGATCTGATCCATTTCCTCTAGTTTCGCACCTGCTGACATTTAAGACACCTGATTTTGGATACTCCAACCTAACCACTGCTCTTACTGACAATTCAGGTTTTATGTCTTAAGCCTCTTTAATAAAATTTCCGGAGGAAAGGCCTGTTTCATCAGCAGATCAGTGGAGATGATCTCTTCCACATGTTCGCTAAAGTGTGAGCTACACTTCCCAGCTCTGCTTCCCTCTCCAGATGTTTCCATATTTTAATATATATGAATAGACTTGAATGTACATGAGATTATCTTAAAGTGGAACCAACTTTGTCTAAATGATTTTCACCAACACCAAAGAATAATCATAGATTTTTTTTTTTTTTTTTTGCTGGTCATGTGGCCTGAACTCAGGGCCTGGGTGCTGTCCCTCAGCTCTTCAGCTCAAGGCTAGCACTCTACCACTTGAGCCACAGTGCCACTTCTGGCTTTTTCTGCTTATATGGTGCTGAGGAATCAAACCCAGGGCCTCATGCATGCAAGGCAAGCACTCTACCACTGAGTTACCTCCCCAGCCCCACGATGTTGTTTTGTGCCAGTCATGGGGCCTGAACTCTTCAGCTCAGGGCTAGCACCCAACCACTTGAACCACAGGGCCACTTGCAGCTTTTTCTGTTTATGTGGTGCTGAGGAATTGAACCCAGGGCCTCGTGCATGCAAGGCAAGCACTCTACCACTGAGCCACCTTCCCAGCCCACACAATGTTTTTAATTGGCCTGTTTATATATTTTTATCTCAGCAAGGCTGTGGGATTTTCCATTCATAAGTAACATCACATCAATGTTCAAATTTCATATTTTGGATTAGAGGAGCACAGAGCTCCCAGTTTCCAAAATTCACTTCTAAAATTTTATACTCAGAATTTATCTTATCTCCTTTTACTATACACTTTCGATTTTGACATATGTAAATCAGAAACTATGAGGCTGATTTAAATGTTATTTAAATGCTTATTCAGAATTCTTGTTTAGGATTAATTAAAATATTTAGCTCCTTTGGAAGTGTATATTTTGAACTACACAAAATGTGTTTTTTTTATGTCTTACATTAAATATAATCAGTGCAGTTACCAAAAGTTAATTTTATTGTGAACAATGTGAGAGATTGGTGATACTAGCTTTGTGTTGTTTTAGTTTGGAAAGGTTAAATTGTGTATGTGTGTGTGTGTGTGTGTAGGTTGTGGGCTTGAACTCTGGGCTTGAGCGCCATCCCTGAGCTCTTCAGATCAAGGTTATCTAGCGTTTTACCACTTGAGCCACAACGCTACTTCCAATTTTCTGATGGTTAATTGGAGATAGTCTCACGGACTTTCCTGCCCGGGGTGGCTTTGAACCCTGATTCTCAGATCTCAGCTTCCTGAGTGGCTAGGACTGTAGGCATGAGCCACCGGTGCCTGGCTGTAAAGTTCAAAATTTTTAAAGTTACAAATATATTATTTTTTCCAGAAATTCAATAAAAAGAATATCACACTTTAAAACTTCAAAACATACAATACAATCTGAATTCAGAACATTTTCAAATTTGTGTTTAGTCCTAAGTGCTACAAACAGAGGGAGAGTTGTCGTCAGGCAATGAAAGGAAAATTCTTGGAGCAAACATTGATGAAACTAAGAGCAATAGTGGACAGTATCACTTTACTGTATTAAAAACTGCTCTTTTAGTACAACCTGCTGAAGATAAATTTAAGATGTAGAAAATGTGAGAAAAATATTCTAATTACCTTAAATCTACTTAAAGTATTATAATACCAACTTTTAAATTCAGAAATCTAAAATATAGATTCATGGCAACTAGAAACAATAATGACATTTAAAAAATAGCTTTCCAAAAAAAGTTAACAGCAAAATTACAATAAGCTGAATTTGTACACTGTATCCATTAAAGTATACATCAGAAAGTAAAATAGACATACAACCCTCTCCCTCCACCAAATTGTTCCAAAAACCTGACACCACCACTGTAAGAGAATTACCATCTCTATGTAACTGCTTGTAATAACATACACATGCTTCTATTCATTGCTTCAACATTTTCCAACACTTATCCTTAGCTCCTAAACTACTGCTCTGCTACAAATTAAAAATCTAATAAGACTTTATAACTGGGGGTCAATGGTTATTGTTGTTCTTACTCTTTGTAACAGAAAACATTGGGTAAATTGTTATAACTATGGTTTTGGTATATAACATGGGTCTTCCACAAATAGGAAATGAAATTTATTTCATGTTTGCATGTCAGATCATCCTAGAATTTAAAGTATTACCAATGACTTTCTTTTAAAAAGAAACCAAGATACCCAGATCTTAGGTTTTATACCAGTTCTTCCTATATTAAGTTGGAACTTACTAAACAGACTTTCACAATATTATTTGAAGTGTAATTTCAATCAAATACACAACAGTACTCGTGGTTAAATGGTAAAAGGCTCAGCAGAGGAAAGGTTTTTGCAGGCTAATTGTCAGTCTTTTATGCTACATTTTGTCCTATAGATGTTCACCTATCACATTTCTCTTACTTATCCCATTATGTTAATTATAATGAATTTTACGTGCCCCTTGTGTGCCTCTGAAGCACAGAATAGAGTCGTGATTTATCATTTTTTACACTACTAAAGACAGTATATAATAAGAAAAGTAGAGCTTAATTCTCACCTGAAAACCTACTTGATAAAAACTGCACTTCATCTTCATTCCCACTACCTCCAAACTACATGGCATCTATTTTATATGTAGTTTAAATATACTAAAATCCATGGAGAAAGATAATTTGAAATTTGAAAATACATTGATTGATTGGCTGGTACTGAGAGTCACACCTGGGGCCTTGCTAGCCTTGTCAGGCAAGTGTTAACCTCTGAACTTACAGCCCAGCCCTGAATAGCCATCTATCCATCCATCCATCCCACCCTCCCTCCCTCTCTGCCCTATCTTTGTCAAGTTCAGTATATAACCACTTTCTTCTTGATGGTTTACACATTTCTCATTGACACACAACAAAAATCTTCAATTTAAAAGTATTCTCAACAATAACAGAAAGTACCTATGAACTCAAGTTACAGGTCCTTTGAATTCATGATGAAAGATGAACTACTCCACTTAATAAAAGATAGTGTGGACTATGAATAGTTGTGCTTGACTCTCCTTGGAGAATAAACAAGTCTTAAAAAGAATGACAGCTTCCCACTACAGTGATGTTTCTGGGAGGTGCACTAGCTGTTATATGGGCTAGCTCGTCGACTTTGCTGAGCCCATAGCAAACAAATCTAAGAAAATCTCATGTCACAAAATATGAACCTTTTTCATTTATCACTATATACTTGAAGACTAAAGATTATTCTTTTCCTTGCTAACTGTGAGGAGCAAGTTTGCTTACCTCTATACAGTGATGACTATTGTCTTAAAACAAAGTGACTACTATTCTGAGAATATCTGAAGCATTTGAAATAACTATTCCAACACTTCCACACCTGGGAACAGCAGTTACACTGCGCTATGCTATAAACCTTGTTTGGTAAGCTGATAAGCACCAGAGAGAACATGCTCTGGGCTTTCCAGGACAGATTCTGTAGCAGCCCCTCAAATCTCACTGTAGCATAATGGAAGCCATATACAGTAAGTAGAATTAGCATGGCTGTGTTCCGCTGTGTTCCTATAAAACTCTAACACACAGGGTACACACAGGCTGAGCCCATATATAATAGTTGGCTGTCTTTTATATAAAGCTTTACATGTTATGCATAATGCTTCAAATTTTTTTTTTTTTTGCCGGTCATAGGGCCTGAACTCTGGGCCTGGGCGCTGTCCCTCAGCTCTTCAGCTCAAGGCTAGTGCTCTACCACTTGAGCCACAGCACCACTTCCGGCTTTTTCTGCTTATATGGTGCTGAGGAATCGAACCCAGGGCCTCATGCGTACAAGGCAAGCACTCTACCACTGAGCCACCTTCCCAGCCCAATGCTTCAAATTTTTGACTTTGGAGATTTGTTTTTTAGACTCCTCAATTAAAAATCTCTACCACACATTATTCTGTGACTATATTACATGAAAAGAAATAATTCAGAAAAAAATAAAATTCTCTACTATAAATTAGGATATTAAACAAATACTTCGTTCTTAAATAGATTAATTCAGAAACATGAAAAATGAAATATTAGAATTTTTATTCTATGCTATATAAAATATGCATAGATTTAGTACATAATTCGTTTTCCCTTTGGTAAAAGAAAAAGACAATGAGAAAATGGTTTATAAATCTCTCAGTCCCTTTTATAAAAGATTGTTACTGAAACTACCCAGTACTTGCATGTACAGCTATCAACTCTGAATATGTACTAATTACATCTAGGAATTAAGAGTTTACCCAGATATGAGTTCTGGCTGCATTTTTTTTAACGGCACAATTATATCAAGAGAACACTGTGGCTTCCACAGTATTGAAAAGTTTGAAAACAAGTCCCTGCCTCCATAGGGAGGCAAGAATATCCATCAGCATCCAGTATAAAAAAAAACTTCACAGTCTGATTTACCTTTATCAAAGGTAAAATGATTCCCTGCTAAATTTGCATGAAAGATTTTGACCCTCTGTGGTTCTTATGAACACAAAAATTTTCATGACCTTCATATGTTTTACAAATACTAATACAAAATATGTTCAACTGGCAGAAGTCCATGGGCTAAAGAAAAAGGAATTGAATATAAAATGTTTACCAACTTTATCTATTCTGATGTTACAATGTCAGGTATTGAGACCTAATTGGTTTCTTGTGCCCAACCATCCTGAACACAACTCAATCTTCTTTGCGGTTTAGTTTCTCAGTAGCAGCTTTGGGTTGTAGTTTCTTGTTTTGACGTATAAGATCACTTCTCCCAACTTCTATCATCCGTTCTTCCCAAGATTTCATTTCGTTCTCGTAACGAATTTTATCATCCTTAGAAAGTTGATAATAAACCTAAGAAACAATGTTAATTGTTAAATTAATGTTCAGAAAAGAACAATTAATTTGTGGAGTGCTTTTATATACAGCAGACCTTTGGTACTCACGGGTATATGGTTCCAAGTAGACCAGTTTACAGAAAAACAATGAACACTCGGAATGCACAGAGTTCAGAATAATACTGAGAATGCATGTTAATTTTCCCCATAATGCCCCTCAACTTTCTCTAAAGAATAAGACCCCTTCCACAAAAAAAAGAAAGAAAAGAAATAACCAAACCTTTAGGGCTTAGAGGTATGGCCTCAGTTGCTAGAGTGCCAAGATCTCTAGCCAATGAGTAAAAGCATCAGATACTGAGTTTGAGCCCCATCTCAAACCAAAAGAAAAAAGAAAAGAAAAGAGAACAAAGAATATGATCCAAAACACCACCTCCCATGTAAACACACATGGGGCAAATGCATTATAAACAATCAAGGTGAAATAAGTATAGTATATGCAGGAGTAAAACACTATGGTGTAGCTGCTTTGCACAATTAGCAGTTCAGCAAAATGAATATGATGAATCTGAAACATGTTTTGAAGGAAGGGGGTCTGGTGTAAGAGGGGTGGATGAATGAAAAAGGGAGCAGTGGACAAATACAGTTGGAATAGTCATGGGGAAACTTGATATGACTGGTAGGATAGGGGAAGATGGAGGAGGGAAAATGATGACACAGCTGACTCTGATCAGAATGCACTCTATACATAAATGGACATGTTAAATCAGAACTCTCCCAATACAACCATTTTGGAAAAATTAACAGCCACCACATTTCTCTAAGGATGTGCCACCTTTGTAAATCTAAATTTTTTACTTTTTAATCACTTAAGGACATTAAGAGCCCCTCAGGCTTCGGAGGAACACCATAGCTTTTACCTTGCTTTATGAGAGACATTTGCTAGAGTGAAGAGCAGGAAACACTCAGCAGATCACACAATATAAACAAAACTGAAGATAACAGGACTGAAAGCTTATCTACCATATAACTGAGCTGCATCATGGGTGCATAAAATTTTTGGGTTTTGAAATGACTTGATTTTTTTACATAATTTTTAATAAGTTTTTTATTGTGAAAATACTGTATGGGGTTACAATCACATGGCAAGATAATGAGTACATTTCTTATCAAGCATTATTGCCTCCTCCTTTGTTTTCCCCATACCATCCCTTCCTTCCCATTCTCCACAACTACATCCCTCCCCCACGGCGCCCCCCCACCTTGTAAAGTTCGTTTTTTGAATAGCATCTTGTACATCTCATTGTTGCAATGGGTCAAACTGTAGCCCTATTTAAACAATTTTTTTTTCCCTTCCACTCCCCAAATTATACCAACATCAAATACAGTGAAAACAGGGGTTATACCACGAGGGAGGGACATACAAAGCAACAAAAAAATCATATGGTACCTTATAAATAGGTTAGAAACAATAGCAAGAAAGAAAAAACCACTTGTGCCCTTATCTTGGGGTTCATTTCACTTAACATCATCTTATCTGACCTTTTCTGCTTGTCTCAGATATATACTAGCTATTGCAAATATTTTTTTATTTAACTACACTTAGCTAAGCCATAAACAGTAAATCCACGAATATGACAGGATTACTCTGAATAAAAACTGCATAACTACTCTAAGTGCATATGTAATGGGGAATGAAAAAAAAAGTTAAGATCAAAGTAAAATGAGAAAAAGATTAAGTATTAGTGAATTTGTTAAACTTTCAGGGCTTTCTTCAGTAAATGGTGCTGGCAAAGTTGGTTAAAGACCTGTAGAAAAGTAAATCTAGATCTTTTATATATCACCCTGCACCACAATCAACTCCAAATGGATCAAAGCCCTCAAAGTCAAAGTGGACACCCTGAAAACATCACAGGAAGGAATAGGAGAAACTCTAGGGCTCCTTGGCATAGGCCGAAATTTTCTTAATAAAGACCCAGAAACACAACAAATCAAAATCAAGGTTGGACAAATGGGATTGCATGAAACTGCAGAGCTTCTACATGGCAAAGGACATAGCTAGCAAGATCAATAGAAAGCCCACAGATTGGGAGAAGATTATCACTAAGCCATACAACAGACAAGGGCCTCATATTTAAAAAAAATATTTAGAATCCAAAAAATTAATCCTAGCTACTCAGGAGGCTGAGATCTGAGGGCCTGCCCAGGCAGGAAACTCTGTGAGACTCATCTCCAATAAACTGCTCAGAAAACCAGAAGTGGCACTGTGGCTCAAGGGGTAAGGCACTCACCTTGAGCTGAAAAGCTGAGTGATAGTGCACAGGCCCAGAGTTCAAGCCCCATGACAGAACGCCCCCCCCCAAAAAAAAATCCCCCAACAACAAATCCTCAAAGAAACAACTGCCCCATTAATAAGTAGGCTAGAAACTTAAAGAAAGGCTTCAATGAAGAGGAAATAAGAATGGCCAAAAGACACATGAAAAAATGCTCAATTTCTCTGGCCATAAAGAAATGCAAATCAAAACAACATTGAGATTCCACCTCACCCCAGTTAGAATGGCTATAATCAAGAAATCTAATAACAACAGATGCTGGAGGGGATGTGGCCAGAAGGGAACCCTACTGCATTGTTGATGGGAGTGTAAACTTGTACAACTACTTTGGAAAGCAGTATGGAGGATCCTCAAAAAATTCCACATAGAGCTCCCCTATGACCCAGCAATCCCACTTTTGGGCATTTACCCAAATGATCACAAACAAGGCTATACTAAAGCTACCAGCACAACTATGTTTACTGCAGTCTTATTCACCATAGCTAAGATAGGGAACCAATCCAGATGCCCCTCAGTAGATGAATGGATCAAGAAAATGTTGCACACACACACACATACACAGACACAGACACACACACACACACACACACACACACACAAATGGAATTCTATGCCTCCATCAGAAAGAATGACATTGCCCCATTTGTTAGGAAATGGAAAGACTTGGAAAAAATTATATTAAGTGAAGACCCAAAGAAACATAGGTCCTATGGTTTTCATTATTTGCAATAATTAGTACATTGTCTAGGACAAGCAGAAAAGTTCAAAAGCTATGTACATATGACCATACAAGATGATGCTAAATAAACCCCAAGACAGGGACACATAAGAGGTTTTATCTTTTTTGCTGTTGTTTTTAATGTATTTGTAATGTGCTATGTGATTTTTTTGTTTCTTTTGTATGTTCTTCCCCCATGGTATAACCCCTGTTTTCCGGTGCCCTGCATCTTGTATATACATTTTTCTAATTTGGGGAGGGGAAGGGGAATAACAAAATAATGAAATAAAGATACAGGTTGACTCATCGTAACAAGGAGATGTACAAGACACTATGTTGAAAACAAACTTTACAACTTTGGGGTGGAGGAGGGGTGGGAGGGAAGGGATGGTAGGGGAAAAAACTAAAGAGGGAGTAACAATGCTTGATAGGAAATGTACTCATTACCTTCCTCGTATAACTGTAACCCCTCTGTACAGTATCTTTACAATAAAGTATATTAAAAAAGAACTGTACATATTATCTGATTTATATAACTGAACCCCTCTGTACATCACCTTTACAATAACAAGGTTTTTTAAAAATAAAAGGTCTTACAGTGGAAAAAAAAAATTTCCGGACTTGAGGGGTGCAAGGGTGGTAAAGGCAGGGTTGGATGAGCATCTGATGGAGTAGGCACCCCAAGAGTGGCATTTTCAATGGCAAACTGTTTATCAAGAAAGGCCAAACTAGTTTCATACTATGAAAATAATTTTAAAATGAAATTTTTTTAGTACCATTAGGCTTATGACCCTTAAATCAAACCTTGTCCTAATCTATTATTGCACAAACACTGGTTAAAAACACTTGGGACTAAAAAGCTCAATACTTACCTGTTTTTGAAAAGCAGGCATATTTTTCCATTTTTCATTTAAAATCTTCAATTTTTCCTGCAAAGTAATATATGTTTAAATAGCGCATACACAGACTTTGGCAATTCACAGATAATATATGTTAAAAAATTTAATTTTTTTAGTTTATGTAGTTCTGAAGACTCAAACTCAGTGCTTGTACCCTAGGCAAGTATTCTACTAGTAAGTCATATTTCCAGCGCAGAAATTTTTTATTTATTTCAACAACAAAAATTCAAATAAGCCAGGCACTGATGCTGTAACTGTAACTACTCAGGTGTCTGAGATCTGAGGATCACAGTTTGAAGCCAGGAAAGGCCATGAGTCTCTTATCACCAATTAACTACTAGAAATTCAGAAGTGGAGCTGTGGCTCAAGTGGTACAGTGCTAGCCTTAAGCTGACTCAGGGACAGCACCCTCCTGGGTCCTTAGTTCAAGCCCCATGATGGGCAAAAAAAGAAAAAGAAAACAACCTTAAATATCAATAAATAACAGGCAAAGCAGCATAAAACTATTTCTAAACAAATACTATTATGCTGTTAAAATTTACAAAAATGAATTAATAGCCAATATTTATCTCTTTGAATCGGAAATATTAAGATCTGGGTATATCTATATTTTTCTCATAGACTAATTTGAAAAATTGTTCATTCATGTCATTTTGTTTCATTCTAAAATGTGTACCCTAAGTTTTTAGGTATAGGCATAGGAAAAAATACAAATTTCACTTTCCATAGACTTGATTCTTCATCTATAATTTAATAGGATAAAAGGATGTATACTTTTGTTTCCTCTTGAAGCATAAATGTGTGGACAGATTTAAGAAAAAACACCAGGTGCCAGTGGCTCATGCCTGTAATCCTACCTATTCAGGAGGCTGAGATCTGAGGATTGCAGTTCTTTTTTTTTTTTCCTGAGGATTGCAGTTCTAAGGCAGCCCAGGCAGCAAAGTCCCTGGGACATTCATCTCCCATTAACTACCAGAAAACCAGAAATGGCGCTGTGGCTCAAGCTGTAGAGTGCTCGCTCTGAGCTGAAGAGCTCAGGGACAGCACCCAGGCCCAGAGTTCAAGCCCCACAACTGACCAAAAAAAAAAGAGAGAGAGAGAACACTACCAAAACAAAACCAGAAGTGAAAAGCAGGTAGAATAATCACTGAATGAGCTGATAGAGCTAACTGCTAAGGACAATGGGAAAACTTAAAAGCAATTTGATTCACAATGCAGAATACCAAACAATGTAGGCAGTGGCTCAGAGTGTTGTAACATGGAAGTAAAAGGTAAGATGAATTGAAATAATGTTTAAAAGACATGTATGCTGATCGCCAGTGGCTCATACCTGTAAGCCTACAATACCCTAAGTAATTTTCAAATTAAACAAATATCTAAGAAACAAATGTAGCTGTTTACCTTAGAAGATGACTCTGTGGTTTCTGGAAATTTTTCAGCTATAAAAATGTTGTATGCTGAACGAGTTTTTTTGGGTTTTCCAAGAGATGTTAACTCCTGAAGAAACAAAAAGGGTCAGACTAGTTTTGATCTCCATGAGACATAACATTATTTACAGAAACTATTCCCTACTATACATCACAGAATTAAGTAAGAAAATGTTATTGTTTTCATGTAAAGAATATGCTCATCACATCTCAGGGTCAGAGATTTGGAGAGCACTAAATTTTAAAATTTTCAGGAAGCTGGTTGTGATGATCAAACATTAATTCTACTACTTGGGAGGCAGAGACTGGGACATCACAGCTAAAAAGATATTCAAGAGGCTTCTCTCAACCAACGGTGGGGTGCAGTGGTGCATACCTGTTATTCTAGTACAGAGGAAGCACAATGGCTGGGCACAGTAGTGCAAACCTCTCACCCTCAGCAACTCAGAAAAGTAGAACAAGAACAGCAGAAGCAGAAGAACAGCAGCCCAGGCCAGCCCAGGCATAAAACAAGGCCATACCTTAACAATGACAACAAAAATCAGAACAAAAATAGCCTGGAGATGTAGCTCCAGTGGTAGAACACATACCTACTGAGCACAAGGCCTTGACATCAATCTTCAGTATGGACGGAAAAAAATAAAACCATATACATATACAAGTTTTATACATATTGCATTTTCCACAAGTTATTTCCATAGAAAATTGTTTCCTTTACATGTTATTTTCATGATCTCATTAACTGAATAGATGAACATTTACATGGAGTTTAAAGATAAAATATTTTAAGATCCCACTTGGATCCTTACAGACCACACTGTTAAACCTAAGGACTATCTAATAATTTCTCATTCCACTCCTACCCTGAATGTCAACGTTACAATAAATAAATTCCATGTTTACTCCTTAGTAAAAGTTGGGATTTTCTAATATACATGTAGCAATCATCTCCTTCTTCCTGAACTCTTATCACTTAGTATTGAAACTAGTGTAGACTCTAAGTACTTTATTTTTTTTTTTTTAGTCTTAACTATTTTTCTATTGTTTCTAGAATTGCTGCTGAAGATTTCTCTTCTATGTGCTTTGCTTGCAAATTCTAGGTCTGACACTTATCTTGAGATCTCTACACCAGTTGCATTGGGAATCTTTAATGGGGAGGAGATCAAGTCCAGTCAAGAGTATAGATCAGAAGCAGAAACCCCCTATGCTGCCCAGTCCCACTTCTCATCTTCACTACCCTCAGCAGCAGCTGGGTGCATTACAGGGAGGGAAAAGAAAAGAGGGAGATTTTATTCTTGAAAAACCATCTCCATAAACACACTATTTCTCACTATTATTGGCCTTTCTGGCTTCCTTTTACTAACTACCAGCTGCCTTAGATTACCATCACTGACTTGGATGAACTCTCAGCCCTAGTGCTTAAACATTTCTACTTAAAACAGAGTCAGGGAGAGATACCTTGGCATCTCATGTTTAAGGGTGCAATCTACTTTTCCAGGGGAACAGTTTTAACTCTAATGAACATTACCTTTTAAAGTATTCACCAGCAAGACGGCCAACTCGCACCTAACACTGGATAGAAAGTCTAAGATCCATCAAGCCTTGAATGCAGATCAACATTTCAAGCTAGGAACTATAAATTTTGAAACTTGTATTTCTTAACTATTTCTAAAGCTTTCATATTAGTTCTAAGTATATCATATATCTGGAGACATCTGAAAGGATTTCCAAGATAAGCACAATGACAAGCCGTTGTAGTAAGAAAAAATGAGTATCAGATTTCTGCCTAACTCAAGAATGTCTGAACATTCTATATCTTATCTATACATTAGCATTTCAATTACACTCCTTAGTTACAAGAATTTGATTTTTTTTCATAGGAGTGTTTCAATGATACTCACTCTCTTTTTTATTAATGCTTTCCTTTTCAAACGTCTTTGTATGATTTCTTTTTCCAAAGACAGCAACTGACTTGGAGTAAGCTGTTCTTGAATTCTGTTTATTTCTTCTTTGTATATTTTCCAGTCTGCCTTATAAGCATCTTCATATATCTATACATAAAAAACCCAAATGACAAGTCACTAACTGCTGCTAGAAAAATTCAACATAACGTTCCCTGCCAAGGAAAGACAAGTGTATGAACTCAGATAAAGAATGAACCACCAAATGAAAAAGGTACTCAGATATGAGATGCATTTTTCACATACTTATTATTAACCAAGGTGACAGAATAGAAATTAGCCTCCATCTTCAAACTACCACTAACCACTCACTTTCCTCAACCCATTTATATATATGTACACACACACACACACACACACACACACATTTCTCATCATCTGTTTGAACCAGAATGTATGAAGTTCCCTTGTGGACAATAGATGTTAAAAAAAGGATAGGTGGCTGGGTGCCATTGACTAATCCCTGTGATTCTAACGACTCAGGAGGCTGAGATCTGAGGAGACAGGTTCAAAGCCAGCCAGGGCAGGAAAAGTCTGTGAAACTCTTATCTACAATTAAGAACAAAAAGCTGAACATGGAGTTGTGGCTCAAGTGGTAGAGTGCAGCCTTGAGCACACAAAAGCTCTATCTAGGACAGAACAGGCCCAGAATTCAAGCCCCAGTACTTAAAAAAAAAGGACACAACAAGGGTTCCTAACTGGTCAGTAATGCTGAATATTTATATACTTACCTTTTTCTTTGACTCAGGAAGTCCTCTCCATACCTCTGCAATTTGTCTAATTAGTTCTTTATTTTTCACATCTATAAATTAAAGTAAGATGAAAGGATTGTCACAATTTTGTCTCAGGATTAATTTCTAAAATCAGGACAACTGCACAAAACCTTATTAGTTCTCAAGGTAAGTAAATTCTAGACATCTCTAACACCTCTATACACATTTAACATAAGGGCTTAATTTTTTCTTCTCTAAGAGTTCAACACAGTAACTAATTATAACCTTTACTGAACAATGTTAAAAGCTTTAATTACAAGCATGGCCACCAGTCAATACTTGTAATCGCCTCAGGAGGCTGAGATCTGAGGATTTCAGTTTGAAGTCAGGCCAGGTTGGAAAAATCTGAGCTTTATATCCAATTCACTTCCAAAATAGTTGAAAATGGTGCTATGGTTCAAGGACAGCGACCAGACCCTGAGTTCAAGCCTCAATTTCAGCACATGCATACATGTGCATGTGCGCACACCCCCCATTCACACACATTCACGAAGAGCTTTAATGACTGGAGTACAACATAGACTACTATAATCAGTCCTCAGAAATTAACTGCAAAATGCACTGCTTTAAGATTTTTACTTTCAAATTTCATTGAAGCATTTGTTCCATATCTTTCTGGAATTACGCTCATAAAACCTAGCTAAACTGCAGAATATAGTCTGTATTCATATAACACCACCTTGCATCCAATAACAAAAATGTTTTTCAGGAGGGGAGTGTGCTGCAGTCTGAACTGGATGAGGGCCTAGCACTTGCTAAAAAGGCACTCTTAACACTCAAGCTAAGCCCCAGTCCTTTTCATTTTTCTGACAGGGTCTGGCATCTTTTGCCCAACCTACTTGGACCCTAATCTTAACTGATTTCTGCTTCACTAGTAACTAGGATTAAAGATGTGCACAGCCATGCCTGGCAACTATTCTAAAACTAAACCATTTTTTTCACTTCCTTCCTTTTCTTAACCACCACCAATTGTCTCAATTCTTAAGACTAAAAACAAGCAGACAGGTATGTAAGTTTAACTCTAAAAACAAACTCATTTTATAATGTATTTTTCTTATAGATCAGTTGAGATTACCAGTAGTGTAGGTAAAAAGGTTTTAGAAATCCTGGGCAAAGGTTAGCTATAATAACTTAACTATTACTTTCACAATATAACCTAAAATTAAAGGCCCTGCCACCATTGTAGATAGTGAACAGCCAACTTGGAATCATTTTCAGAAACTCAGGAATGATTTTTAGTGAAAATTTTCTTGAAGTTGGCAGTAACTTGAACGGTTTACAGAACTTATTATTTTTCTGTAGCTTTATGAACAATACCCTCATGTAGAAAAATGGCACCTAAACAAGAGATAACATCATTTGTCGGTGGACTCTTTAAGCCAAAGGCAAGTAGGCTTATTTTAAATATCTTCTTCCCAGGGTGCTTTCCACACTGAAAAATACCTTTTTAGCAGTTCTTATTGTATACTTAAAGCATTTCTATTTGATATAAAATGCTAGATTATGAAGAGAAATTATTGTTCCAGCAGCCTCTAAGTACTATGGTAGGATAAAATTTGTAATTTAACTCCTTAGAAGCCTTTTTTATTACATCAGAGAAGGAATACAAGCCACACCCCACATACACCTTCCCCCAACTCCTCACCTGGGTTCTGAGCTCTAAATACTGGTAGCTGTTCTTTAGAAAATCGAAGGTAGGAAGTCATAGGTTTTTTTGGATAACTACTCAAGGTGGATGAAAACCATTTTGGAAAATACACAAAACTACACAGGAAATAAAGAAAGAATACAATCAGTGTCTGGTCTTTAACCTGTCGAGATTCATATACCCATGAACCGAGATTTCCAAATAATTATCGGTCACCAAGATGTCAAACACTTTCACCAAACATTCCGTGGATGGAATCCAATCCGGGACAAGCGAAGGCTGGACAGGGGCTTTTTTTTTCCCCCTTGGAGCTACACCCTCCACCCCTCAAACACTTTTGAGTTTTGTTTTGTTGTTCAGGGAAAAGAGCTTTCCGGAGCTGAACGTCCCAATGTCCTTGCATGCTCAACAAAGACCGAGCAGAGTGGAGGGAAGCAGCTGGATCCCAGCTCTCGGCACCTGCCCTACCCCCTACCCCTCCCTGGAGCCTAGTGGATGGCGGGAAATGGGTGAACCTCGCTCTGGATGGAGGGGGCGGGGAGGAGGGTGATCGGAGACCAGGAGGCCAGGTACGGGACCCCCGGGAAGGACGGAGGCCCGGGGCTCACAAGGCCGAGGTCTGACCGCGGGCTCGGGGCGCGCCGAGCGTGCAGGGCCGCGGCTGCAGGCCCCCGCCCGGCCGGCCGCCCGACCTACCTGAAAGGTGAACACAGGCGACTCCCACAGCCAGTGCACAGCTCCGCTCCGGATCTTCCCAGCACCCTCAGCGCGCCCCACACGCCCCGGAGGAGCGACATGGCGCCGCCGGACCAGACAGCAGCCGGCACCCGACCCCGCAGAACCTCCCCCTCACCAGCGCGGAGCCCCCGCTGGGGCGACCCGAACACGCGTGCAGACGCCCAGGGTTTGTTATCATGCCCGCCACTCGCGAGGCACTATGGGAGCTCAGCTAACATCCGGTCTGGAGACAGGGGAGGCGGAACCGGACGAAAATGACTGGGCGCCGGCGCAGGAGTGCGTTCCCCCGGTGGGCGGAGCTGGAAGGGGGATGTGGCGGGGCGAAGCTGCGCGGAGGTGAAGGGAGGGTGCTGGCCTCCAGGGGGCGCTGCGGAGCCGCCTCTGCCCCCGGCCGCCCGCTTTCTAAAGATGGGCTGGGGCTGAGCCTGCCGGCGGGTGGACCGCGCCTTCTGCCTCCTCCGGAGCCGGGTGGGGCCTTAACAGCGTCTGTGCGGGACCGCCCCTGGGACGCACGTCACAAAGCGGTCATTCAGCGGGCACCGGACAGCCTGGCAGCCCGTCCCAGGCCCGGAGCGCCCCGGCCATGGCGATCACTGTGAGCCTCCAATGTCAGTGGTCTGGGCACGCGGTAGCACTGTCCCTTTGGACTATCCTGTCCATCTCCTGCAGGTCTGCAGGCCGGATCTCCGGCCCTGCTTCAGTTGGAGCTGAGACTTTGGCTAATGAGTTGCCTGCAGAGTCAAGTTCTAGTCCCAGCAGGAAGGTTGTCTTAACCCAGCATGGACCTTTGGTGTCTTTACCTCTTGTGCAGGGAAGGTCTTATCCTCTCTCTGTAAGATGCATTTCCCCCCACCCCCTCCCCCAAATAAAGATGGACCAGTTTTCCCAGCCAAGCCGCAAAGAAGGTGACAAGGATGCCTCGTGATCGGGTGATGTGTTGTAGTTTATGATTTCTGTCATTCCAACACCATTTTCTGAGCAGGCCATCACGCGAAAAAGTTTCAGAAGATCCAAAGTTATCGAAGAGCCCTCAAGGCTGTTAGAGGCCAGTTTATTTTAAAAGATAATTCTCCAGGGAAAGGTAATTTTCTTCCGTTGGGCACCAGTAATCCTTAAAAAACAAAATGGCTAGTGTATTATTGGACTAAGAATCTACTTCCTATCCGTAGCCTTCAAACGTCAGCCCTAAGGAGTTGGGTAGAACTAAGCCTACTTCTTCTTTTAAGTGGTAAACAATGATCACTTCTGTTTTTCTTTGATCTCTGGACAAATGAAGTCCTTTGGGTCAGCTACTTAAACTTCCTATTCAAAGAAGCAACAAGTTTTTTGGTTTTGTTTTTTAATACCCAAACATAATGAAATAAAAAATACAGAATTTCCCATAAAATCTAGTGGCTTAAGTGGTAGAACACTAGCCTTGGAGAGAAAAAAAAAAAAAAGCTCAGCACCAAATCTCTGAGTTCAAGCCCCAGGACCAGCACTAAATAAATACATAAAAATAGAATTTTGGATATTTTAAGAATCCCTTTTGGTATATTTTTTTTCAAGTGCTGCCTTCCTGCTTCAATCAAGGAGCCAATGACTTGATAAATCACTTTAGAATCCCTCTATTCCTACTAACCAACTGATGAATATTGCTGGGTCTGTCAACCTAGTATACATTCCCTTCTCTCGAGCCCCATTGCTTTAGCATTCGGGTCAGGGCAGGAATGTGTTGGTAAACCAGCTCCCCCCAAAGAAAGTCCTATGTGTAGTGTTTGACAAGTTCTATAATGTAGATATTGTCATTAAGATTTATTTGAGGTTACCAGCTTGAAGTCAATGAATCTTAAGTTGGGAAGAAATGAGCAAAACTGGCTCTCCAGGTCAGTACTGGCCAGCTCTCATATGCCACTGGCTCAGGCTCTGCTGTCATGTACCAGATTTACATTAATTTTCCTACTTCCCAGTTTTTATTCCTCCAAACCTACACTTCATTTACAGGGTCAGTCTTTCTAAATGCCAAATCTATTCATTCATTTAGTCATTGAAGATGTACTGAGCACCGATTCTATCCCAGGCAGACAATGATTTCCTTTCTGTACTCAAAACTATCAGTGGCTTCTAATTACCACAGAATCAAGTTCAAAATCTCACGCATGCACACAAGTCTTCTGTGAACTGATTTAAAGACTTTGTTCTTCATATTTAATAGACACATCAAACCACTTCATTTGGCTGTAAGCTTACCAAAGCTTTGGTATGACATGCCAAAATAATTAAAATTAGTAAGGATACAAGCTTAAAAATAATCACCATTTGAGATCACAAATTGTACTTTTACTTGCTTTAAATGTGACCTTGTTAATAACAATCACTCTGACCCAGATTTCTCCCCTCTGTACAATAGGCATATAATGGTTAGTTCTTAGGACAGTTGTAAGTCATATAGCGTACAAAGAGTTCTTAGCACAACTGCTAGCACATAGTCATGAGTCACTAAGTTGCAGCTATTTAACCTTCTGTTTTTCTAACAATTACAACTGGCTTCTAAATTATGGATATAATATGGATTATCTTCCAAAAGAAAAATGAGATTTGTGTCACAGTCCTGTCATTTGCTTTCTGTATTTTCTCTTCCTATTAACCAATGTATAAATATACCAAGTAACCAGAATTGCTCTGCTCTTTGAACTGAATTTGTAACATTTCTTGAATCAGTAAATTTGGAGCATAAACACTAAGCACTGTGGTGGCTAATAAATAAAGCAATAGTTGACAGTTTAAGTTGACAGTTTAGTGTTTTTAGAACATCTGAGAAATAGAAAAAATAAATTATTTTCATGATCATTTGTTCCCAATTTCTAGATAACAGAATGAAGTTCAGATAGCTCAAATTACACAGTTCCAACAGTTAGTTGTGAAAGTGAAAAGTGGATCTTTCAATTCATTTTTCCTTTGTCTTTCCATTTTATCAGATTATTCCTCAGACTTAGTGAATGGATTGGATCATTCCACCCAAGAATGTTCTCCTCTGTGAACTCACATTACTTACTATGACATAACACATACCAACTTCATTTCTGCTCACTTTTAAGTCCCTTTAGCACAGTGTATGTTGTAAATATAACAGTGGATAGACAAGACAGATGGATCAAAGGTGGTGGGCAGTTAAATGGACACAGATGGCAGATAGGTAGGTAGATAGATGAGATTAACATCTGCACAAATTGTTTTCTATAAACTTGGCCTTGTAAAAATAACTTCCTGCTAGAAGTTTCATTTGCCAGTAGAAGCAACTGTTGTTTGTAGACATGAGAACCATGTTCAGCCTTGGAATGTACATACAAAAGGAATGATCTTGCTTAAGTGAAACTTGAACATTGGTAAAACTAGAGATAATAACACCAACAAATAAATGAATTGGTCAGGGACCTGGATAACTTCTTGTTGAGTATGGAGTTAGTTGCATGGCTATTACTCAAATAACAGAAAAAATATTCAAAGGAGAAAGGGGTCTTGCTTTTATAATTATAAATGGTAAATAATTTAGCCAGCACAGGAGCAAATGCCTAGTTGATACAACACAGTATTAAATTCATAAGTAAAATATTTCTGAAAATAAGACCATATTGCAAACAATTCACAGCACCAGCAATTTTACAGCACTGTGATCAGTGCTAGAAGGTGCACAGAGTGATAATATAAAGCCACTGCACAAGAGTTCCTGCTCTGATTTGGTGAACAAGGTATAAACACAAAATTTATAAAAGTATACCCACTTATTAAAAATTAACAACATACAACTGGAATAACTATTCCTTTGTTTACCTTTGTATAAATCAAAATTGGGTAAGTTATATGCATGAAAACCTAGTAAGTTTTTTCTCAGCTATTTCATTCACATGAGTTTTTCTTTAAAAGTATTTTAAATCACTTAAAATCAATTAAAGTTTAAGGTTTGACTTTAAAATCATACAGGAAGAAGGGAGTAAGAAGCAGAGAAATTAGAGGGAAAATGTTTTGCATGTTAATAGCTATTCAAATTAGTTTATGAATTAGTTTTCAACAACAAGGTCTGCATGCAGCCTTAATTTTTTTTTTTTTTTGGTCAGTTATGGGGCTTGAACTCTGGGCCTGGGCGCTGTCCCTGAGCTCTTCAGCTTAAAGCGAGCGCTCTACCACTTGAGCCACAGCACCACTTCCGCTTTTCTGGTGGTTTACTGGAGAAGAGTCTCATGGACTTTCCTGCCCAGGCTGGCTTTGAACCATGATCCTCAGATCCCAGCCTCCTGAGTAGCTAGGATTACAGGCGTGAGCCCCCAGTGCCTGGCAGCCTTAATTATTAAGGGCATATTGGAATTATTTTTAGCCAGTGCTGTAGCAGCATTAAGAAAAATGAGTATAGCTTTCCTATTTTAAAGCTGATTCTCAGAGTCAGCAGGAGGTAGGGCAAGCAAAGAGGACAGCTATAATTTTATGCAAATTTTAAAAACCCTAATTCATATTACTGGAAATTCCTGAAAGCTGACTTAAAGATTGGAAGAAATCCATAATGATTATATGGATGGAATCATGCTATTAATAAGAGTATAACCTACTGCCTGCCCTTGGATTATTGTAAAACACCCAATCAATACCAATGATTATAATTTATTGCTTAACCCTGTGCCAGGCATTTTACATACATTTTATTTAAACCCTTCATAAATCCTGAAAGGTGGTATATCTCTTATAGAGGTATGAAAACTGGTATTCAGAAAACATTAACAACTTTTCCACCTCTAACTCAATAGTTTGCAGCCTTTATACTCCATGTAGGTACAAAATAGGCAAATTAGTCATGACATTCTAGGTTTAACATTTACTCACGTTCTATCATCTCTTCTCATACTTCTTGGCTTCTCTAACCAAGTGAATTAATATAATATCTTAATTAATTTCCCATCAATTCAAGAATACTTAGTAAAGTTGAACTTAAAAAAAACACAGACACACCACATATGCACAGGTATGAAAGTTAAAAAGAAATAAAGTATGTAGATGCTGGGACTGTAGTTAATATTTGTGATCCTAGCACTCTAGAGCCTGAGGCAGAAAGATACCGAGTTCTAGGCCAGTCTGAGCTACAGAGAGAAACCCTGAATCAAAATAAGACAAGCAAGCCAACAAAAAAAGTACAAGGTGATAAATAGACTTAATAGTGATTATATTTGAAATTACAGG